GTTAGAAAAACATTTTTAAACAAGAGACTCGTAGATCAGACGGCCTCTAGAAAGTACACGGCTAATACCGTGTGCACCCCAACCCCTGTTTGTCATTACTCTAGATGTGCACAAATCTAGAGTTTTATTGCTCATCCATCTTACACTTTACGTGATTTACTAGTTTAAACTTGGTGATGACTCAAATCCAAAACGATACCATCAATCAAACAACAATCATTTAAGCAATTCAAGTTTCCGATTCAATTCTTGTTTTATTAGTGACAAACGATATTTAGTGTTGAATCCTAACTACCTCGGTGTATAAACACCTTAAGTGCATAAGGCACCTCAATCCTCAACCTTGTCTTATAAGAGTTTAATTCTCCTTTACTCATTCCATTTCAATAAACATGAACGAGTATTAAAATAATTCATTCCACATATTCACATACCTTTGCCTCTAAGCTCATCTTGCATGTTAATGCATAAATAATACTTACAAGATAAATTAATACGCATTCCTCATACATGAAACAAAACCAATCACCACATTAATCACCAATCAAACTTACTACCATACAATTCCAACCAATCTACAAGTTTCCTAACATGATTCTAAGTCTTCCAAGTCCTTAAACATGCTTCTAGAGTCAAGGTTTTCGTATCCTTGTACGTACCTTGAGTAAACGAGTTGGTTGGCCACTCTAGGAACTAGAAATCGTCTTCTGCAAAGTCCTCTCCTAAACCAAACAATAATAATTCAATCAATACCCAAGCAATATAATTTACAGCAATACTAACTTAGTTTAAAACCCCTTAAACCTTTGAAATAATGCTTTTAAATTGTTCCCAATAGCCAATGTTAATAATTAAATAGTTCAACTATAAGTCTACATGTTAAAATCACGAAATATAGCTTATAACATAAAATTCCAGCAACTTTAAAGTAAGGATTATAATTTGGAAATTTAGTTTAAAATTATAAAACAACCTTATAGACATCTATACTTGAAATAATCTTTATATAGTAGGTTAGTATGTTAAAAACCTAAAAATCCATCATAAAACCATGATTTAAAACCTTTAAAACTAAGATTAAAAATCTGAAAATTTAATTTAATAGTAGAATGTATGAATACAACAATCTAAACTTAAAATATATAATTAGAGTTCAACTAGTTTCATAAAAACTCAGTCAAACCTTCAAAATTCAATTAAACAACACTTTAAAACCTTCCTTTTTGCTAGAATTAAAAGCTTATATATTATTCTTAAAATTTCCTACATAAAAACATTAAAATACATACTTATTCATAAAATTACAGCAAGTTTAAAGCTTTATAAAAATCTGAAAATTTATTTTAAACATTAAACCTTCGTTAAAAATCAAAAACTGCCTGAAAACCATATTTAGAGGTCGAATTTGGCCACGAGAGGGTGGTGTTCACTACCAAAGGTTGTGAGTTTTGATTAAAACGTCGTTTACACATGAAAAACACTATTTATTTTTTGTAAAAATCGGACGATTTAGAATCTAAACGTGATTAAAAATAAATTAAGAACGGAGATCATAAGTTGATTACGGAAAACTGTTTTTTTTTTATGCTTAATTAATCATTAGAAATTCAATAGGAACAAAAGCCCCAAATTAATTGATCATTAGAACCCTAAAATCCCAATTAACTAAATTAAAACCCTAGGTTTAAAATTACAAAATCTGAAAATTAAAACAACAATTATAATCTGAAATTTATTAGTCTAAAACATCAAAAACATGATTTTGATACTAAATAAACTAATTTCAATCAATAAAAAACCAAAACCCAAAAATCAATTGCATAAGCTTTATGAAAATAATAAGAAATAAATGAGGAAGAAAATAAGACTAACTTTTTTGTGTGGGAGAAAATTTGGGGATTCATGGGGTATTTATAGGAGAGAATTATAGGGCAGAATTGGGCCTCATGAAAATAATGGGCCAATTACATAAACAAATGGGTTAGACTTTGTTTTTATAATAATGGATTGTAGGATATAGGTTCATAAAATAATTTAGCCTAAAATAATTTTTGACCCAAATTAATAATTTGAAAATTAAATTCTGGAAAAATACAAATAAATATTATAATTAAAATAAAATAAAATTTATAAAATATTTAAAAATACGGGGGATTACAAAGTCGTCAAGACAAAAGGTTTAATGAAAACCTATGATTAAAATTCACAACAGATGCATCATCACACTTGAACTCCATACATTGACAGCCCATGCATTCTTCTAGCAAATACCATTCTCATTCTTGCAACCAAGGATTCTGCCATGACAACAACCAACTCTGCATTCAATTATTGCCCCATAGCCATAATCTTCCCTCGTTCATCACTAATTACAACACCCAAGCCAGCCCCCCACCTTTGAACTCTGCTAGATACACGTGGCACCCAAGAGCTCCCAGCAACTGCCTATTCAAACTCCTCCCTAGCTGTCCCAGATACCTATCATTGTAGTTTTATAAAATGCCCAACAAGTCAAACAGACCTCATGACTACAATATCCCAATTCTAACATTACTCATTAAACACAACAGAGTTCCTATTAGACCACAAATATCAAAAAGTCCTCATTAGTTTACTTTAAGAGATGATTAGTATACTTTAAGAGAGATTTAGTTTACTCTTATGAAATTTATACATAATTAAATAAATTATCTAAATGAAATGGACCTCAGATGGAACATCAATTGTGTTTGAGACTTTTAATCACCATTAACAGACAACATATATATGTGACCTCTCACAGGATTTTCATCAAACAGTTGACATGCAAAGTTACAAAATAAGAACTTCTTTTATACTAATAAAATTATTTAACAAAAAAATCACTGAAACACAAAAAGGAAAAAAAAAAACCAACAACAAAATTATAGAAAAATTACTTGATTTCGCATATAATTTCAACTTCAAACACCTTTAATTACGCACAACCTCAATCTCTCGCAACCTCATTTTGAACAACTTCAAATTTCAGCAAAATTCAACCTGAAAACACTAAAATAAGTTAGTAATTGCATAAAAAATAGTTTAAGACATCTTTGCAGTTTTACACAACTTCGAGCTACAAAGTTCACTAAAACAAACAAATATAATCACTAAATAAATCTGGAAAAAACCGTTGATTTTAGACTTAAATTTTGCTAAATATTAATTATAAACATAAGAAATTGTAATCAATACCTTAATTAGACATCAACTTTTGCAGATTCTTGTGAAGAAATTTTCAGCATCGTATCGAGAAACTTCGAATTCGCATAAATTTTTCGAATTCGTACAAGTTAGACCTAATTTAATTTGAGTCGAAAATTGACACAATATTGGATTCAAAATGCAGATTTCAAGACGTAAATGATCTTTAGCAACATGAATTTCAAAATTTCATGTTCAAGTAAGAAGAATTTGATCTTCATCGAGCGTAAAGAGGTGGTTGAACGTTTTTGATGGAGGAGAGAGAAAACGACCTCTTAGTTTTTTCAATTTGTGAAACAATTAATATGCCAGATTAAATCCTAGCCGTCCATTTCTATATAATCGAGCGGTCGGTATTAGTTCCTAGTTCCTATTATAGGATTGGTTCTCATTATATATATATATATATATATAAAATGACCTGGGGCATCGCACTAGTTGAATATAAATAGCTAGAGATTTGTTAAACATCGCCCGCGTTTTTCTACATAAAGCCCACATTTTTTAAAAATGTTGACATTATTGCCCTTGTTTTAATTTTTACCGAAAATAAAATTTTTCACTCATAAAAAATGTGGAGCAGGACTGGATCGCCGAGTGAAACCGAAGAGCCCTCAACGTCGGGTAGATGCACCGGAGAGACGCCGTTGACGCCGGAAAAGGAGGTACGAAGCCATCTAAAACCACGAATTGGCGGCTGGCGTCCTGCCGGGACGCCGTGACCGTAGTGGTGGCGCCTAGCCAGGACGCCGCCACCGTAACTCTGGCGCCTGGCCAGGACGCCGCCACCGTGGCCGTGGCGTCTGGCCAAGACGCCGCCGCCACGGTGGCGGCGTCCTGGCCAGGCGCCACCGCCACGGTGGCGGCGTCCTGGCTAGACGCCACCGCCACGGTGGCGGCGTCCTGGCTAGGCGCCACCACTATTTTTTTTTTTTTTTTTTTAATTTAATTTAAAATTTGTTTATTTTTTTTTTTTTGTGTTACAATTTTTTTCTTTTTTTTTTGTTTTTTTTTTGTTTTGTTTTTAATTGGTTTTTGTTTTTAATTTATTTATTTTTTATTTTTTTTTTACAATTTTTTTCGTTTTATGTTTTTTTTTTGTTTTTTTTTTTTGGTTTATTTTTATTTATTTAATCTAAAGTTTTGTTTATGTTTTTTATTTTTGTGTTTTGTTTTTTTTTTTTTTTTTTGAATACTTTTTGTTTATTTCTTTGTTTGTTGTTTATAATTTATTATTGTTTTTGCTTTTGTGCTAATGTTGTGTCAAATGTATTAATTTAATCTACTCTTATGTGATTATATTTATATGTTATTGTTGCAGGATTATGGTGGAGACGGAAATGATTATAGTGGGATTTTTGTACACGATGGTCTGTTCGAAGATGCTCAACAAGCGGTTGATTGGGCGAAACAGGTTGCAATTAGATCAGGTTTTTGTTTAGTAGTAGCAACTCATAAATCTCAACGGGATGGTAGAATGGATCGCATTTTGAGATGCGACCGTTATCGCAAAAGGGAGGAACGAGATTTCAGTCAAGCGATTCGGTTTGATACAAAGCGGAAAGGTTGTGGGTGTCAGTTCAGAGTAAAGGTTCGACAACAGCAAAGGGGTGACGGTTGGGAAGTGAAGAGTTACGGTAAATGGGGGTATCACAACCATGAGATGATCGCATATGAAGTGGGTCATCGACAGTTAAGTGGCCTAAGTCCTGCTGCGAAACTAATTGTAAAAGAAATGAGTGATGCTCAAGTGAAGCCTGCTTGATCGTGGGAAAGGAGTGCGTTTGAGTACATTCGTGGTCGTGGTCGTGGTCGTGGCCGTGGTCGTACATCGTCATCAAGTGGTAGTCAAACATCTTCGTCGGTGAATATGCCCGGCACCGGTACGGTACTTTAGTTTAATTTACTTTTTAGAGTGTTTGTTTAGTTTTCTGCTAACTTGTTAATTGTGTTTTTTGATGTGTGCAACAGGCAGAATGGACATTGAACATTTTCCATATAAAGACAGGATCCCTAACATCATGATGCCGTTCCTGGACGGGTGGAATGATGTGGTTGCAGATGGTAACTGTGGATTTCGGGTTGTGGCTGATGTGTTTCAGATGGGTGAAGACAACTACGGTTTAGTGCGTCAGTTGATGTACAGTGAAATCGCCTCAAACCGAGCTGTTTATCGCCACGTGTACGGACAGGACTTGGATAGGTCTCTGCAGCGTATCCGGTGGGGAGGAGGACGTTGCGGTCAAAATCATTGGTTCGACGCGCCCCTTGATCTCTTCGCCGTTGCAAACATCTACAAGTGTGCAGTGATGCATTTCGGCCTTGGTTTGCATGGTCGAGCTTACTATCCGTGTACCACGGTTCTGCCTTGGTGTTCGCGTGAGACCGTCACCAGACCGGTAACAGAGGTTGCTATTGGATTTCTGGGGCCGTCATACAGACATTTCATCCGACTGGACCTGTCACCCGATTTTCCGGTCCCACCGATTATACCATTTAAATGTGAACCTGTATTTAGTTTTCGTATGCCCACTAATTACAACTTAAAATAAAAGTTATAAAAACTAAAAATATAATGTCAAATTCTAAGAACTTAAAATAATAATTATAAGAACAGATAATGTTAACTTTTACAAACAACTAGGAAAATGTTTTATAAATGCACTGCCGACATATCAATAATCTCTCTGTGACGCCCACTGCCACTGCTCAAGGGCCCGTTCCAGTTCATCAATAACAGCTCTGCCTGTTGCAGTCGTCATGTTGTCCCTCTCCTCAAAAAGTCTGTGTCCCAACTGCGTCATCTTTCCCATCCACTACACATAACAAAACACATAAAATTCAATAACGACGTATTATGAGACGTATTATATGAAAAAAAACACAACTACAAATGTTTTATGAGACGTACCGCATCCACGGCAGTGGGCGGTGGCACATCATCATCATCGGCGTCGTCGCCGTGGTGGACGTCTCTGATCAACCTCGGGTGCGAGTGCCGGTTGTACCACTCCATGTAGTGCTGGTCACACATGGCAGCCACCCCAGTTGGCGGCCGCTGCAACTGCTCAATCCATATGCGGGCAACCATCGGAAACTGCTCCCACGTGCCAATCATGCTTGCCGGCCATTGGACGACGTACTCCTTCAACGACGCAGATCGGACGGCCTTACTGGGCCATGCTGGTGGAGGAGGAACAACTTGGACATATCCAAGCTGGCGAAGACAGCGCTGCGGCATGTACGCCTCTACGATCTCACGATACTGAATCAGTCCCGTGTAGAGGGTCCTGGGTACCCTATTACTAGGGTTCTGGCCGAAAGGCATCCAGTTCACCTGCACATTTTTTTAAAATTAGTAAGATTCATACAATAAACACATCAAACTATAAAAGTAGAAATAATTTAAACACTTTACCTCTAATGGGGACATCCTGTCAAGCAATAATGCACAGGCACGTGGCTGGCCATCCCCAATAGGAACCGGGTCGCGGTGTGGTCGAAACGCCGGGAAATACTCGTATATCCACGTCTGTAACAACGTCATACATCCAGTGATACCTGCCGCATCAGCCCGGCTCGAGAATCCTAACTGGCGATACATGTACGCTAATGTAGCCGACCCCCAAGAAAACTGGCCTACTCTGTCGGGCTCACACGCGTCAACTATGTCGCGTGGCCTGAGCTTGTTTCCGCTCTTATCCGGAAACAAGGTACACCCGAGAAGAAGAAAAACATATGCAGCCAGCTGTGTGTCCTGCGTCCTACGTGAAGTGGGGTGCAAACATCGCTGCAAAACTGCTGCGATCTTAACACCGCCGTGATCCCACACACCAAGTGCCGCTGTGTACAGCGCAGCCCTATCCACCGCCAACAGCTCCGCCAATAAATCTGCCTGATCCGCATCTGTGACAACAGATGCTCGGTTTCCCTCTACGGGAATCCCAAGGATGGCCTCGACGTCATGCAACATGATCGTCATCTCACCGAACGGAAGGTGGAAAGAGTTCGTGTCCGGCTGCCATCGCTCAACGAAAGCCGTGATCAGCGTCGAGTCAATCCTCTCATGCATGGTGGCAGGAAGGTGGCTCACTCTAGTGGCCCTCAATCGGCCGACCATCTCGCTCTCCTCCGGCCAAGCCTCAGCCCAACTACACAAGAAGTTACAAGTCCTCTCCCGGGTTTGGCATTTCAAAATGCCGCTATACCACGGGATCTAACGTGTCTGGGCCCCGAGCTCTCCATTGAGTTCATCGTATTTCTCATAATGTCCATACTCTTCCCAGCCCCAGAACGAAAATACGATGCCTAACACAAAATAACAAAACATGTAATATGCAATATAAACATGTAATATAAACATAAAAAAAGTAATTAAAATAAATAAATAAAACAATATACATATGATGGAAAATAAATTAAAAACATTACAAAATATTAACAACCTAAAAATAAAAAAATTAATAACCTAATAAATAAATAAATAAAAAATTGGAAAAAACAAAGCAAAAAAAAAAAATTACCCAAAAAAAACAAATTGGAAAAAACAAAGTGAAAAATATAAAATTATAAAAACTTAAAAAAAGAAGAACATCAAAATTTTAAAAAAAATTTATAACAAAAAAAAGGGAACATAAAATTTTTTTTAAGTAAAAAAACTAATTCAAAAAAAAAAAAAACAAGAACAATAAACAAGAACATAAAATTAAAAATTAAAAAAAAAAAAGAGGAACATAAAATTTTTTTAAAAAAAACAAACAAAATTTAAAACAAAATAAAAAAAAAATCAGAAACATAAAATTTAAAATTAAAAAAAAGAAAAACAAATTTAAAAAAAAATCAAAAAAAAAATAATTATTTTCGAAAATTAAATTTCAAATTTAAAACCAAAAAAAAAATTAAAAAAAAAAATAAAAAGGCGGCGGCGCCTAGGCCAGACGCCGTGACGGTGGTGGCGGCGTCTAGCCCAGACGCCACTACCACGGCGGCGGCGCCTAGGCCAGACGTCGGTGCCGTGGTTCTGGCGCCTGGGCCAGACGCCACCGCCACCGTCACGGCGTCTGGCCTAGGCGCCGCCGCCGTGGTTGTGGCGTCTGGGCTAGACGCCGCCGCCGTGGTGGTGGCGTCTGGCCTAGGCGCCGCCACCGCCTCCGACCTTTTTTTTTTTAATTTTTAAACACAAAATTAATAAAAAATACCTTCTCGCCGGAAAACCGCTGTCCACCCGCCGCCTGTGCCGCCACTTCCTTGCCGGGCCGCCTCGACATCGCTCGGAAAGTTTTTTAGAGAGAGAAAGTGGAAGTAGAGAATTGAGAGAAGAAATTGTGTTTTTTACTTTGAGGGCAAAAGTGACAATTCACTCTAATTTTGTGGGCTTTATGTGGAGATTCGCGGGCGATGTTTAGCAATTCAGAAACTTAATTGGACCTGATTTTTCAGATTTGAACCAAGAAACGACCGGTTGATTTAGGTCTGGTCTCAAACATGCAAAAATAGAGATTCGGGCAGCTGAACAGCCCTGGTGACGGTCCAAGAATGATCGCTCAATAAAAATGGAACGCGCGGGTCGAACCAGATATGCTGAATCAAGAGTGAAACCTGAACCCTGCAAAAGTGTCAAAACAGTTCGGCTTATTCGAGCTAAAGCCAGTAGCCGTTTTCATGTAATCCCTTCCTCAAAATTTCACAATGCTAAGCTGCAAGAGATTCCTGCAAAAACCCATCAAACGAAAGAACAAAAAGAAGCAAAACAAGAAGAAATCAAGAACAACTCCCAACAAAAATGGCTGTAATTTTCCTAAAACCCAACAACCTACTCATAGTTTTGAAGAAAATGAACCAGAAGATGATGGTTTTAGGCTAAGAACTTCCGCCCCTTCAAATAATCATGGAGTTCAACCACTGGGTAATCTTTTTCTCAGCTCAAATTCTCATAATTCCAGAGATATTGGCTTAGGTAATTTGAAAGTTCTTACTGATGAACTTGTTCTTGAAATTTTAGGGTTTTTGGATGCTAATTATTTAGGGATTTTAGCTACTGTTAGTAAATCTTTATATGTATTTAGTACCCATGAACCTCTTTGGAGGGATTTGGTATTGGAAACCCTTAAAGGTGGATTTTTGTATAATGGGTCATGGAGAAAAACTTATATTGCTGCTCTTGTTTTGATAATTCAAAAATTGGGTCTTGTGGGTTGGGAATTAGGGATTTTTATTCTGATTTTATGTTTCAAAGTTGGTTATGTGCTAATCTTGAGATGAAACATGAGTGGCTACAGAGGGATAACATACCGCGAAGGCGGGGGATTTCTGTTGAGGAATTTATAAGAGATTTTGAGGAGCCAAATAAGCCTGTGTTGTTGGAAGGTTGCTTGGATAGCTGGGTTGCAAAGGATAAATGGGATAAGGATTATTTGATTAAAAGTTGTGGTGATGTTAAGTTTTCGGTTGGTCCGGTTGAAATGAAGCTTGAGGATTACTTTAGGTATTCTGACCTTACTAGGGAAGAGAGACCCTTGTATTTGTTTGATCCTAAGTTTGCAGAGAAAGTTCTGACGTTGGGTAGAGAGTATGAAGTTCCTATATACTTCAGGGAGGATTTGTTTTCTGTTTTGGGTAAAGAGAGGCCTGATTACAGGTGGATAATAATTGGACCTGCTGGGTCGGGTTCTTCATTTCATATTGATCCTAATTCAACATCAGCTTGGAACGCTGTGATTAAGGGGTCCAAAAAGTGGGTTTTATTTCCTCCTGAGATTGTACCGCCTGGTGTCCATCCTAGCCCTGATGGTGCTGAAGTGGCATGTCCAATTTCAATAATTGAGTGGTTTATGAATTTTTATGGAGCCACAAAAGATTGGAGGAGGAGACCCATTGAGTGTGTCTGTAAAGCAGGCGAGGTTCTCTTTGTACCTAATGGATGGTGGCCTTTGGTTATCAACTTAGAAGAATCTATTGCTATCACACAGAACTATGTTAGCAGGTATGTCTCCTAAATATCTCTGCTAATCACTATGCAATGTCAAAATTTACTGTGGCTAGACTCGTCAACCCTTTTTGAATTATTTGCTTTCTGAATCTGCTTCCTCAAGTGTTTGAGTGCCTTCTCTAGCTCACCTTAAAATGCTACAATTGTGATAACTTAGTTTTCAAGTTAATGATCAAAGATTATTGTTGATGATTGTAAATTTATTATGATAAATTGCTTATCATTTACTATTCTTAAAGAATTTAGCAATAGTGTCCACTTTCAAGGAGTAAAGTGGACTCTAGTGAAAGAGTGTATCATATGCATAGCTATCAGACTGTTGCTAGATATGGTACACATAGTATCACTTAGCTTGGTGAAGTGGTGAACCATATTCTTCTTCCCTTTGTTTCCCCTCATTAGTACAGACAATTAAAAAAGACATAAGTGATGGCATTTTGCTGTAAACAAACCATATCCTCCTAGTTGGTGGTACAGAATTTCTTTATTAAATCAATATTTAGATTTTGTAAGCATAACCTGCTGAGATATCTTTTTATTTGGGCTGCCCTCATTATTATAATT